TCCATGGTAGCTTTGGCCTGTCTAACTGCCTCCCTACAAGCGCGAGCAGAGGAGGTATACTCCTGTTTGGTGATCTCTCCCTGTTTCCACTTTTTGTGTGCTCCCCTTTTGGCCCGTAGGCTGCCCTGGATTTCTCTGGTCAGCCAAGGAAGCCTCCTGGCCCCTTTCCCTCTTTTTCCTCGCATCGGGATCGTCTTCATTTCCTTAAGGCACAGCCACCCTTCCTGGGCTCCCATCTCTTCAAAACTCTTACTCTGCAGTGTGTCCATGACTAAACGCCTGAGTTCATTGAAATCAGCTTTCCTAAAGTCTAGCACTTTCACCCTACTAGTTACCTCACCCACTCGACATCTTATGAAGAATTCTATTATTAGGTGATCACTGTCCCCCAGATGGCTACCGATCTGTAAGTCCCCTACCATGTCATCCCCCGTTGCCAATACCAGATCCAGTAAGGCATTCCCCCTAGTGGGACCGTGTACCTCCTGTGTCAGGTGGAGGTCCTGTACACAGGTTAGAAACCTGCGTGAACGGTGGGACTTTGCTGTCTGCGTCTCCCAGCAGATGTCTGGGTAGTTTAGGTCCCCCATGACTACCGCCTCTTTAGCTTTTATGGTCTCCAAGAGCTGCCTCAGGAGCCCCAAATCTAGTTCTTCCCCTTGGTGTGGGGGTCTGTAGCAGACCCCTACCACCAAATCCCTTTCTCCTTGCCCCCCATGTAACCTAACCCACAATCCTTCTACTTCCTCATCCTTCAATTCTGTCTTGATGAGGGTTGATGTATATTGCTCACAGACAGAGTGCAACCCCTCCCCCTTTCTTCCTACCTGGTGGTTGAATCCTTTCTCTCTGATAGGAAGAGGCTGTTATGGTGGCATATGTTATTGATTATTTCATTGTTCATTCTTTCCCTGAAGCAGTCAATATAGCAGTCAAGGTTAGAGTTTCATCCACCGAATGGAAATGGATCCAGACCATGCCATGACAAAAATGTAAAACCTGCCAACATATCTCCACCAACCCCAGAATTACTATACCTGGATCTTAGAGCTGCACCTCCAGAAATGTAATATAAAACTCATCCAATGCACCAAATGCCCTGATGGAAAATACGTAGGAGAGACCAAACAAGAACTGCGCACCAGAATGAACACACACTGGAAATCTATTAAAGACAGGAATACCTGTGCGGGGCACATTTCTCACAAGCCACTCTCTCTCCAATCTCTCAGTTCTACTCCTCAAAGGTAACTTACAAAACACTTTTCACAGATGAGCCCATGAACTTCACTTCATCAACCTCCTGGATACAAAAAAATGGACTAAATAGAGACATTAGATTTATGATACATTATAACCTGCCTAACATCTGACTTCCCAGGTACTTCTGTACTATTTACCAGCTACCTTCATTTCCCTTCCCTCCCCACCACTTCTCTCTCACCCACTGACTTCTCAGTTTGCATCTTCACTGACTGCTTTTCTTGCATGCATACCAGCCTCTCATTTCTTTACTATTCATTCCATCCAGGAAGAGCACACACCAACTGCAGATGTGTCCTTAACCTGATGAAGGGTATATATACCCAGAAGTCTGCTAAGAATGATTTTTTCCAACTATATGAGTTGGTCTAATAAAAGATATCAGATTTACCCAAAGAAGTTTGTCTGCCTATGTCCTTAGACCAACACAGCTACAACCCATACCTCTCTAAGAGGAAGCATGACAGCAGCCTTCAAATACTTGAAGGGCTGCCATAAAGAAGAGGGACAGCATCTTTTCTCTCTTGTTGCAGAAAGGAGGATGCAGACCAAATGCTTAAAGTTTCAGCAAAGTAAGTTTAGATTGGATATCTGGGAAAAAAAACAAAAACTTCTTCACTGTTAGAACAGTGAAGCAGTGGAATGGCTTGCCTATGGAATTTGTGGACTCTCCATCAATGGAGGTGTTCAAGAAGTTGGATATCCACTGGTCAGGGATGATCTAGACATAGCTATACCTATGTTCAATTATGGGAATTGCCTATGCTTCTGGGCTTTGCTTGTTGCCCCTGACACCCTGCACAGTGTTTTTAAGCCTTTCTCTGAGGCACTGGGTGTTGGATACAAGCTGGCTACAGCCAAGGCTAGGGACTTTGACCAGTGTATGCCAACACTCCTGCTGGAACCAAAGCAGGAGGTTCCTGGCTAGAGGGTCTCATCCCTCCACTCAGGGTTGAACCATTATGAGGGCTCCTGTGCTCTAAGAACATGTAAATAAATAAAGGGTAATTTAAAAAAGGCCCAACAGTTATGTTACACACACACACACACACACACACACACACACACACACACACACACACACACACACACACACACACACACACAATATAATCATCTCCACTAGAGGGCGGCTAAAGAAAGCATCTGAGAAAAGGGATTTGATTTTCTAAGAGATCATGCAAAATAAGCAAATCAAGCACAATGAAAACATAAGCAGTGACTATATTTTCAACTGACATGACTGTAAGTTTTTCCTTTCTTTTTTACTTTTAAGAACATGTAGATGAAGCAGTGATAGTCATCAAGAATATGTGTGGCTCTATATTGCTAACTATTAAGCATATTTGACACAACCATCTCTGCCATGAAGGTGATCCTGTTTCTCAAAATACATAAAACATATGGTACAAGCACAGGCTATCCTTTTATGTAAGCCATTTTCAGTATTATCTAAAGCTAGATTCGGCAAATGGCAACCACTGAAAACATTCAAGGCATCAGAAATGCTATAAAAATACAACTCTACAATATTAATGATAAGAATGCACACAGCATCCTAATTTCAACGTAGACAGGTCAGATCTCAGAACTCATATGAGAAAACTGCTGTGCAACATATGAGATGAAAAAGGTTTTCTTCTGCATGCTTTGCAACCTAAATTATGACTTCTTACACTTTCAGTTTATACTTATGCTTGACACAAATAAAGATAAACTTACTTTTTTTGTTTAAAAAAATCCTTTAACTAATTTAGCTACTACCACATCAACCAGTTTCATGACAGCACGCTGGCAACTTTTGCTTAATTTAAAATATTTTCTCTTCAGATGCAGAGATCTGCCAATCTTGGCAAACAGACATCTCTACCTTTGGTATATTCTGTTAACAAGAAATTTCTACCTGTCCTTTTAGGTTAAAGACAAGCTTTCTGTAGTAATTAAAGGGAAGAAAACATCCCAACTTCTGCCTGGACAGATATTCTTCTTCCCTCCAGGGAAAGATTCAAAGAAAATTCAGACTTATTATCCTGAAAAGTATACATAGTATTTTAAGGTGAAATGGTCTGAGAAAAGGAAAGTTTTGTATCTGGATGAACGGTCAGAGTAAATCCTTAAAAGTGATGGGAGGCATGACTACAACTGAAAAAAGAAAAATCTAACCTGGGGGGTTTGAATTAATGAAGAAAGAAATAGTTAAGAAAGTTCTTAAACCTTGGTTTCTCACTCTTTTTCCATCTGGGACACAAAAACTATTTGGTCTCCTTGCTTCCCGGCTTGTTCAGTGGCAAGGGGAATGCTACTTCAAGAGACTTAGAAGCAACTTGAGGAGCCCTGAAGAGTTTGACTATTCCACAGACCTGAAAAGCTGTGGCTGGGAGACAAAGTAGGCCCATTCAATGGGATGATGCCACCAGGACCCGAGGAAAAACAATTAGCAGGAGGCGGAAAAAATAAATTATTGCAGGCAAGATTCCATCTGTGGGAATTTGCAGGAACAAAATTCATTTACTTATATTGATCTGATAACTGGATCCTGGTGCAGGATTAAGCATGATTTAAGCGACTGCTGACAGATATGAGATAAAACACAAGAACAAAAAATTGGAAGAAAGCATGTTTTCTGTGGGGATAGCCAGAATCAGGATTAAATGCAGGGCTCTCACTCACATCTAATCAAAGTACAACATGAAGAAATCAAGTTGTCCCCTTCTGTGGCATGCTGAAATTGATTCTCTAATTAATAAAGTCTTGGTTGCAACTTTTAAAATTGTTTCTCCAATATAGACTAGTTTCAATAAAAACTAGTACATATATACTTTTCACTGGGACTACTTTTTTATTTATTACCAGAAAGGCACCTAAAACTGGATTACAGGACAGGCAGAGCAAGCCTGAATCATGAGCGCACTCTGGTTCTACAGTGTCCGTTCCTCAACTTTTTATCAACAACCAGGCTTCAGCCTCACTTCCCTTCCCTTGTTTATGCATTTCCCATCTTTTCTTCTTTTAATTCAGAATGATCTTGGACTTTGAGACACTGCAGAGCTATACACAACATTTGGATGGATGATTTTTTTTCCCCTAGCATTCCTAATCTTTTGTATTTCATTTTTCATGTATGGCATTCAAATGTCACACTTGATACCTTTGGAATGCAATAAATTAATAAAACAGTCATCACGTTGTCCTAAGTTCACAGCACTAGAATGAACCCTAAGAAGATAATTAATAAAATATAATGTAGTAAGGCAACAATCATCTGACTTTTCTTTTAATGAAATAGACCAAAGTACTTAATTACAATACAGTATTAAACTTTATTTAATTGCCACTGCTACGGTGCTATTTATGGCTAAATTTATGATCTGAAGCAAAAATATAATACTTTTCCCAGGCTATTTACCTTTACTGAAATGTGCTATTTGTCATTTGACAAAGTTAACCATCATACACAGATAAGGTCAAGGCTTTTGAAATTATTACAAGGTAGTGTAGACTTTTTATCTTATCAGTAGCAATAAATGTTCTGCTAAGCTTGAAGTGTTACACAATTACTTTATTTTAACAAAACTTGCACATTAACTACACAATCTGAAAAAAGCACCTTTTGAACTGAGCAACTATTTAATTAAAACATCTCCCTAGTACCTCCCATCCAGGATTTCTGAGCAAATGACATCAAATTAGTACACACAAACTTTCAACCAAGAATGTCAATGTTAATAGTGCCTTACCTGCAAGCAACACTGGGATTAGCATTCCTTGAGAGAAGCAGTTCTACACACTTCAAAATCTGCTCCTCTGAAGCATGTGCGGTACATGCAGACATCAAAACTGTATATTGATCTGTATAGAAAATTACAATCGGAGAGTGATGTCCATGAAATTCACAAATACTGTGGTCTTCATAATTTGGAGCAATGTGTTTTAAATACTTATTGCATCTAAATAATAGCTCAAACTATTCAAGTTTGATAATGTTACCTATTTAATATTTGGAAACCCTTAAGAGACTGGAAATTTTCAGTACAGTGAAGATAACTGACGCTATGAATTCAAATAAAATCACATACCCAGAGAGAAATTTATGGACACCTGATCTCCTTAAGACCTCTACTGTTTTCTACCCAAAGTAGAAATTTGTGGAGTGAAAAAACACCAGGAATTTCAAAAAACACAAGCAAATCACACTATGTAACAATCCCATCTCATGAAACATTAAAGTAAGTAGCACCCCCTAAGATTCCCCAGGGTATGTCTCTATAAGAGGAGAAAGCCAGGTGCTGCTGGGCGACCTGAGGGGTCTGATCCTGCGTGGGAATTTCCAGGGTGCACAGGACTGAGCCCTTCAAGCCCTGGGAAAACACATCGCCTGCTGTCCTACAGCATCAGTGGGAAGGACAATGGACAACATGCATTTCACCCAACATCCCGGCACAGCTGATCTGCTTCATTTGGCAATTTCTATTTCTAGTCTAAGTAATAAAGAACAAGAAGCAAATATAGACAACACACATAATGAACCTGAAAGCAAAGATAACAAGGTTGGTAGCAGTGGGAGAGGGAAGAGGATTTATTTTTAGTTTTTGGCATGTTACTAAAACATCATTTAGTGTATTTTAAAATTTAAAAAGTCAATACTTCACAAAGTATTATGATAATTTTCATATATTTTATTTTTTCAATCTTCATGAGTGATGTAATAAAATATGCTACACTATATTTTATTAAAACGTCAGTAAACACAAAATCTAAATATAGCTTTCCTTAAAATCTCCACTGAGAAAAGTTTTGGTCACATTTTACCATACTTCAACTTAAAAATCTGGTACATATTTGAAAAAAATGATTCCACTATTTTTCTTACTTTACTGAGTATCTCCATTTCATTTGCAAGAAACCCTGATGAGATATTAAAATAAGTTTCTAAAACAAGGAAAGGGACACGATCAACTTCTATACAAAGCATTTGAAAAACACTGAACTTTGAAACAAATTTCAAGTATCTAGCCTAACAAAATGAAATTTCTAAGTCACTGTTTAACTTCTGTGAACAATAAAAGAATGTGGTTGATTAATAGTCTGACAAAATCTTATACTTATTATCCACACTGACATGTGTACTGAAAGCTGGCAGGAGTATTTTAAACAAGGGTAACAATAAACCATACTAATTTGGCAGCAGTGGGTAGAGGTATATATTAAATATTAGTGTTCAGTATCTAACTTAATGACCTAGAAGGGTAGGAAACATGAACATGCTTCTAAGTTAGTTAATAAACTTACAGAAAATAATGTGAACTTAAAATATTCTAAGGAAAAGATAGTGTTGGAGTGATGTTGCAGCTATGGTCCAGGATACAGGAGTGGATTAATGCACAGGCCTGTGGTGCTCTGCCAATCAGAGGCTCCCCAGCCTGCAGGGGAAAATCCTGGGAAGCACTGAAGCTCCACTGCATGTAAAACACATGAGAGCCAGAGGGAGGTGGCAGCTTGTCTGACCGCTCTGTGGGGACTGCCGGGGTGAGGCGGTAGTGAGGATTCCCATCACCCCTGCTGCTCGCTGTCCAGCTGGTCTGCCTCTCTCCTGTCCCTGAAATAAGTCTGATCCTGCCCTCCCTCCCGAGGGTAGGGTCAGAGGGCAGGCAGGTGGCTTGAGATGAGCTGTTGTGTCACCCGCGACAGATGTGGGGGTGTGTGTGTGTGTGTTGGAGAGAGGTGCAACCCCAAACTATGCCAGATCTCCCTGTGCGGCAGTGCACAGTGCTTTAGTCCCACTGCCAAGGGCTGCTTTGGGGAGTGAAGAAAGGGAATCCTGCTGCCCTGGGGATGCTTCCTGCAGTTATCGACTCCAAATAAGGCTGCTGACAGCGACGGCAGCTTGTGTGGGGAAGTGTCAGCTCTTCCAGGGGGTGATTAGATATAGATCTGTCTGTGTTCAGAGATACATTATATATATAGAAAGATATTGTGTGTGTATACACATCTATATAGAGACACATTATGTATATCAATATCTCTCTACGTTTTGGGTACATAATTATGCAATGATAGAATTAAAACACAGATGCAATGGGTAAAAGAGAGCTTTACAGTATATGAAGTTTAGCACATGTTTAATGTTTCAGGAAAGATTAAAAAAAACATTGGGATGTATTGTGTATGCCTACTGCTTTATTTTAATTGCAAGAATCGCTAACGGTATTCTTAGACTCATACTTGAGGCTATAGGTATGGCCTGTATTTTTCTTGTAGTATACTGTAGTGCATGTACAATGTAAAATGTGTATTTTAAAAAAGTCAAACAAGAGTCTACATGACCACTAAACTAAAACATCTTTCCTTTCATGTTATTATACATTTATGGCGATCCCGTGCATCTAAGGCAGTACTGTATTCAGTTTTGTGTGTGGCAAAATTGGGTATTTAATTTTGACACTGCATATTGTGCTTTATTTATTAATGCAATATGTAACTATTTAATGGATCTATTTATTAATGCTTTTTGATACATTCATGTTTATTGTGGGGTGCGGGGGGCCTCCAATTTTCTGTTTGCCCAGGGCTCCAATAAATCTTAATCTGCCACTGCCAGGAAGCATGAAGAGGCAAGGATTTTTGTGGGTGATATCTTTTACTGGACCAACTACATGTTTGGGATAGCCTTAAGGTATCACCCACAAAAATCCTTCCCTACAGAGAAAAAAATCTATTTGCAAGAGACCTGAAGATACCAGACTTTCAATGTTTTGTGTTATAACTCTCACACAGATTTCACATAAGATAAGAGAACATGTGGTATCCCAAATGAACCGTTAACAGCCTTCACAGAGTGTGACAAGGGACTCATTTTTGCAGCAAAGCTACACTTACCAATGAAGCAACAGACAGGGCTGAGTGGCTTAACCTCATACACTAACTTGTTCAGAGAAGCATAGCCTTTGTAGGCTATGGATAAATGTTTGGGCTTTTGTAGACCAACAGCTGGCCCAACTATACGGTTGGTCCAGTAAAAGATAGCATAAAAATCCTTGCCTCCTAGTCATAGATACTACTTGTAACAAAAAACAGGTAGTTTCTGTCACAGCTGCAACTTTGCTTCATAGCTAGGGACCTGCATAATTCTTGGGGGCTTCCCCCTGATATCATGGGCAGAATGAGGGCCTGGGCAGCCATTTCACAGGCAGAGAGAAATTTACTAGGTCATATTCATTGCATAAGTAGACCATAGCTGTTGGATAAATGTTTGGGCATCGTGCGTCTTTTCTCAGGTCTAAAAGAAGCAGGCAGGCTAAGCTAAACAGCCGAAAGAAGACTTCATGTAATGACTGGAGGAGGGCTATGAAATAAGACTAAAAGGGTGATATTAGGAGCCATTGTAAGACAAAAAAGGCAGTATACTAGGCAATCTAGTTAGTTGCAGAGTGAGAACATACAAGGAATAAAAGAGGAGTTGCTATTTAAATTATTTTAAACAAAATTCAGTATATTTAATCCCTTGTGTTTTTGCTGTTGTTGCTGCTGGATTTTTTAAAGAGATTATTCTCTGCACTCAAGTGGATTATGTAGTTAGTTTCTCTACATGGTAAAAATCAGTGGTTGTTTTGGTTAGGGTTGGGTTGGGTAAATCTTCTACATAGGAAAAGGAAGGGTGAAGGGGGGAGAAAAATATAAGAAAAATATAAGTTCCTACAACCTAAGAAGTTGAGATGGGATATCACGGTCAGACATAATATTTGAAATTATGTTAAAATCTGCAGTTAAAAAATTTAAAATTTGACTATGGCTCTTTTATGTGTTTAGAATTATTTGATGATAATGTACTGCAGTTTTAGGGCATTGAAAACTGCATTATGCATTGAATGTGCATAATTAATGCACATTCATTTATAGGGTAGCAGATCATGGGTCGGTATCGACCTGGAAGGGTGTGGGCAGTGGAGGCCCGCAAGGCTTGGTCCTAGGCCCGATACTCTTCAATGTCTTCATCAGTGACTTGGATGAGGGAGTGAAGTGTACTCTGTCCAAGTTTGCGGATGACACAAAACTGTGGGGAGAAGTAGACACACTGGAGGGTAGGGAACAACTACAAGCAGACCTGGACAGGTTGGACAAATGAACAGAAAACAACAGAATGCAATTCAACAAGGAGAAATGCAAAGTGCTGCACCTAGGGAGGAAAAATGTTCAGCATACCTACTGCCTAGGAAATGACCTGCTGGGTGGCACGGAAGCGGAAAGGGATCTTGGAGTCCTAGTGGACTCCATGATGAACATGAGTCGTCAGTGCGACAAAGACATCAGAAAAGCTAATGGCACTTTATTGTGCATCAGCAGATGCATGACGAACAGATCCAAGGTGATACTTCCTCTCTATCGGGCACTGGTCAGACCGCAGTTGGAATACTGCGTGCAATTTTGGGCGCCACACTTCAAGAGAGATGTGGATAACCTGGAGAGGGTCCAGAGAAGGGCCACTCATATGGTTAAGGGCTTGCAGGCCAAGCCCTATGAGGAGAGACTGGGGCACCTGGACCTCTTCAGCCTCCGCAAGAGAAGGATTGAGGCGCAGCCTTGTGGCTGCCTATAAGTTCATCACGGGGGCAAAGAAGGGAATTGGTGAGGTTTTATTCACCAAGGCGCCCCCGGGGGTTACAAGAAATAATGGCCACAAGCTAGCAGAGAGCAGATTTAGACTAGACATTAGGAAGAACTTCTTCACAGTTAGAGTGGCCAAGGTCTGGAATGGGCTCCCAAGGGAGGTGGTGCTCTCCCCTACCCTGGGGGTCTTCAAGAGGAGGTTAGATAACCATCTAGCTGGGGTCATCTAGACCCAGCACCCTTTCCTGCCTATGCAGGGGGTCGAACTCGATGATCTATTGAGGTCCCTTCCAACCCTAGCATCTATGAATCTATGAATCATAATTCCTCTGGGACTTTCAGTTCCAACGAGATGTTTTGCCCTGTACAGCCAATTAAAAAAAGAGAGGAAAATGAATGACAACTATTTTTGGAAGTTAACAGAGCCATATTAGTCTGAAGTTAAGCAGAAAGCATGGCAGGGTAGCACCTATAAACTCAGGATGCTCATCCCATCCAACCTCATGGAGGCGACCACTGATGCAACCCAGCACATGGGGCCATATCTTCTTGTCTGTGAGGAGGCTTGGAGGCTGCATGGCACATCTTTATGGGACGGATCCAGTTCTCAGGCAGTAGGTTGAGCACCACCATTCAGTGAGGCATGAGCTTTCATAGGCTTCAGCCTACTTTGTTAGATGTTAAATTAGAGGTCTTAAGCAGATCAGATCTCCATAAATTCGTACACTCTTTACCAAACTGCACCACCATCCTGACTGTAGACTATAAATGTGGGAATGGAATTAATACAATTATACAGCCACATGCTGCAATTCTGGACAAATATTTTCTTTGCTCTATTTCTTAAGGATCACAAAGGCAGTAAATGAGGTCAGCACAGTTCTAAGAATACAATTAAACTTGTGTTCTACTTTAGAACTAGTTGAGTACAACACGTAAATCCAATGTCAACAGATTTTTTTTCAGTTTCAGAGTGATGGAGGGGGCAGACTATTTTACAGCCTTCTACAATCTGATTACCTTCTCCTGATTACAAAGCCAAGTTTGAGATCTAGTCTACTTTACTTGTGACCCTTCTCCCCTGTATACTTAATAAAGGACAAACAGGATAACATATATTGGTGAGAGGTAGAATTGCATTTGTTAATCTTACCCTTCTCAAAGCTTGCATTAGCACCTCTGTCGAGTAGGATATGCACTAGTTCCACATTAGCAACACTAGCAGCATACATAAGGGGAGTCCATCCAAATTGAAAACTAATATCTACACTCACACCTGCAAAAACAGTGAAAATATATTGAAGGTAAAAACATACTTTATAAAACTCACTCCAATAGACAGAGTAAGAATAAACTTGTAACAGCTTCTGCAAATATGTTTGTATTTAGCCTTAGAGAGAGAAAGAAAATATTTTATTCCATATTTCTATCTTTTTCAGTACATCTCTACTTGGAACTCTATAGAAACAAATTCCAAAACTAAGTATCAAGAAGCCTGATTCTTAACCCAAGATATTAAGCATTATAGCTTTTCAAACACGATTCAAAGACAGAAGCGAGAAAGACAGATACATTTTAGAGAGCTAAGACAAAACACTACTGCAGTCAAATAATCCCTTAAGCAGAAATCAGCTCTATATTTGTCATAAAAACTGCAGCAATGTTCCAAAAGAAGAAGCAAGTTTTGGTGCTATAAACTGGCCCGTTTGGGAGTTTGCCCATCCGGAAAAATTGCAGTGCTCAAGTAAACCCACCTGCACTATGGCAGCCCATACATGTTCTTAGGGGGTGGGAGGAAGGCATTTTAATTAGAAAGGTTCCTGGAGAGCCACTCTAATTAAAACACTTCATCGTCACATCTATTAAGTCCCTGCACATTTAAAAATGGAGACAGGACTCTCTAGCTAAACCTCATTTGATGAGGTTTAGCAAAAGTGCTCCTGCAGCCATTTTAAAATGCACAGAAGCTTAATAGACATGATGATGAGTCGGCTCCAACACCTTCTAATGAAAACATGAATGAGTACATGTATAGGCAACCTATGTTTTTTATACTTCAGAACCCTTCCCTTGCCCTTCCCTCTGCCTGCTAATTTGCCTTACCTTTCTAGCAGAAACTGCTTTAGCATTCAGCACAACTGAAGGCCAGATCCTATTCTACTTATTAAGCATTTAGTTGGCACTTACACATCTAAATCCTTCATTCATTATTACTATTAACTTATTCCAAACTCCTTGAGCTCCTGAAAAATCATTAATGCACCTACTTTTGTAATGTGCTTTCATTTCAGCCTTTACTCTAAGACAGGGAAAGTGACAAAGAGGAGGGCCCACCCATATCACATCAATGTTTTCAGGAACTCCGACAAGGCAGAACAGATCAACTCAGATGCCTAATAAGTGAAATAGTATCTGACCTGAGATGTTTTGGGAGGGAAGAGGGCAGAAAACTAAATCTTAATGGGGAAGGTGACTTCTGTACAGACTGATGGTCAGACTTACCCAACTCTAAGTCGGCTTCTCCAAAAGGTATAATTTGCATAGGATTTTCACTCTTTGAATTTTGCCCCATAAAACAAGACTGACCAAACTCTAGTAGTTTTTAGATATGATCCTGCAAGGCGTCAAAGTAAAGCACAGGCCAGGCCTTCTAACTGGCTGTTAAGTATCTATTAGTCAAGTGAAGTCAGTCCCAAGACTGCTACAACCATTGTGGTACGTTAGATGCTATAACAGGGGTGGGCAAGATACGGCCCGTGAGCCATATCTGGCCTGGCAGGCAATTCCATCTGGCTTGTGGGGCCACTCCATAAGTCATGGCCCTGGGCTGCCGTTCTGCAAGCCAGCGCATCCTTGAATGAGGTGTGGCTCTGGTTGCTAAGCAACCAACTCCCTGTCCCAGGTGGGCGTGGCCTGCCCCAGCCCCGAGTTAGGGTACTAGAGACAAGAAGCCTCTGTTTGGCAAGAGGCTTTTGCTGGCCACCCCATAGTTATTTCTAGCCTCCCTGCCTGCAGGCCTGGAACTGCAGGTAAGAGCCCCACTGGGTCAGAGCCAGGGACTCACGCTGGGACAGAGGGTAGGGAGCTGTGCACTATGGGGTTCGGTCAGGCTGGCCTCTCATGCTGCCACCACGTGCAGCTGGGGACTTGAGTGGGATTGCAGGAGCTGCAGCTATGGGGCCAAGTGGGGCTGGCTCCGCAACCTGCCCCCACATGCAGCTGGGGACTCAGGTGGGAGCACTATAGGGTGGGCTGGGCTAGCCCTACACGCTGCCACCACTCGTGGTCAGGGACTTGCACGAGAGCTGCATGTTATGGGGCTGGGTGGTGCTAGCTATGCACCCAGCCACCACATGCAGCCAAGGACTGGGGTGGGAGTGCAGGAGCTGCGTGCTATGGGGCCTGGTGGGGCTGGCTTCACACCTGCCAGCATGTGTGGCTGGGAACTCAGGAGGGAGTGTTACTGGGCCATGTGGGCTGGCTCCACATGCTGCCTCCATGTGCAGCCAGGACCTTGCGCTGGCCCAGTACACAACTCCCACCTGTGGCCAGGGACTGGGGTGGGAGCATGGGGAGTTGTGCACTATGGGCCCTGCCTGGCCCCACTCTCTGCCACCACATGCAGATCCAGGGACTAGCACGCTCCAGGGACTCCGAGGACCACCTCCTTCCACACACACCCCCAAGTTCCACCATACTCCCAAACACATCCACACCCTCCCACAGTCCCTCCCCCACATACTCCCACCCTCCCACCATAATCCCATACACACCCACAGCCTCCCACAGCCCCCAACGCAACCACATACCCCACACCCATATCCCTTCACACACCCCCACACCCCCGCACCATACCCACACTGCGCACACACACCCCGCACACCTACTCCCCCCACCACATACACCTCTTACCCCCCACACACACACAATATACAAGAGTAAGACTGTATTTTGAGTTATGATGCAATTGCCTATAGATACACTATGGAAACACATACATCAGGGCAAAAATATTTTTTAAATAAAATTAAAGTAAGTTATAGTAGATGTTTGATTTTTTTTTAGTATACAATTTGTTTTTTTTCCCTGGTTTCAAGATGGTAGAACCCTCCCTCCCAAAAGGAGTACTTCCAGGGCAAAGGGAGGGACTTCTGGTGGCAAAAGTCAAGGGTGGGACTTCCAGTCCCAAGATGGCTACCAGGGGTGGGACTATCCTTGCAGCCCTCAACAGCTCACCAAAATTTGTTAAGCAGCCCTCCAGCCAAAATAATTGCCTGCCCCTGTGATATAATAACCCTTCTAAGTTAGTTGAGTTGCTTTGCATTGCTGGTGGTTCTTCGGGTAGAGTGACCTGGCAGTGCTCATCTCCTCTCCAGGTACAGATGACTGTTGGCTCGCAGGGAGCTCATCACCTTTTGACAGGTCTTGTTTTTAGTCCTGCAGGGTATCAATACACCATCCTCACCCAGGCTAGCCCAGGTAGGGGTGCTGGTTTAGTCACTGACAACCCATCCATGGATCAGGCTGTACTAGTTTACATGGTACCAGATAGCAGACCAAGAGAGGCCTGGCCTGACAAGAATCATATTGCCAAGTAGAAATAAGCTCTTGTCAGGCCAGGCCTCTCTTCATCTGCTATCTGGTACCAGAGAGGCATTTCTGTTTAGTAAATTCTTATGTGTGCGCAGGAAGAAAAGCTAACAGAAGATGAGCTCTACTCAAGATCACAGGAATTACAGGTTTGGAAGGAAATTCAAAGGCCATCTGATCCAACCCGCAGCACAAATACAGGATGCAATATTCTTATATTAGCCCAGAGAAATGCCTCTTCAGTCACTTTATGAAAACATTTTCCACTCTATGACTCTTTTGAATACTCATTCTATACTCCCGAACAGTTGCAATCCCTTCTCATTTTGTGGCATCTGAGTTCCATTCCTCCATCGAAATCATTAATAAAAATGTTATACTCCAGACCCACAATGGCCGATGGTGGAACCCCACCTAAAACCTCCTGCCATTCTGAAACTGATCCATTAATAGTCTCTGATTTTCGGTGCATACATAATTGACTGAAAAACTGCAAGCAATTGTATCTAGCCCACAATTCTCTAGTTTACATCTAAGAACATCATGTGGGACTTATCAAAATCTTTACTAAAATCCAATCAAGTCCACTGCATTTCCCTCACCCACCAGACTAGTTACCCTTTCAAAGAAGGAAATCAAGTCAGTCTGATCTTATTTGTTTTTAAACAATACATGTTTGCTGCTAGTGATCTCGATTCTCTGGGTGTTTATAAACTGTCTTTTATATTTGCTCTAGTAAGTTCCTATTTATTGAAGCCGGGCTGATCCATGTATAATTTCCCGGGTCCTCCTCCTCTAAAAGTGGGAATTATGTTCACCTGTTTAAAGTACTCCTGGTTTCTCACCTGTTGTTCATGACTTCGCAAATATTGCTGCCAGTAGCTGCAAGATCTCTTCAGATGATAAACTATGTTAAAAGTACCTCTTAGAAAAAAATTAAGAATAAAATGAACGAAAAGAATTCCTCAAAAATGTTATTTCCAAGCTGAGAAAATTTAGGGAAGTCATTGAAAATATTCAAAGTCCAATGGTGCAGAGCTTGTGTGTCTGTACAGGATGTAGAAAACAAGGACACAGCTGCAGAATAGTCTTTAAATTACTATTTTCCTGCTGTAGTAGATAGAAGTGTTTTTACATGAAGAGCCTATAGTAAAATATAATTTATTTAGTTAATTCCATCTCTATTTACTGTAACATACCCGTGGGAGACTACTGCTGATTAAGGAAGATGAAGCAATTTAACTTTCCAGGGTAATGAGGACAAAAAGGAAGTTTAGTGCATATAAATATGTTTAAGAACAGCCAGTACAGCATGACAAAGGTGGCTTATTGCCCAAATAATTAGTCATAGGTTTACTCAAACCTAAAGATGTTATTTTTTCCTCTGTCAAACTATATGAGTTGTACTGAGTTGGTTGTTTGCTCGTTGTCTTAAAGAACGCACAAGAAAATCATGTTACAAGTTACAGACATCTGTTAGCCTTTTTCTACTTTTTCCAGATATGCCTCCTTATAGACTTCCATGTGCCTGTATACCATGTAGAAATAGATGCAATAACATTTTCCGAAAGCACTTAATTACATTTCAAAATGGAAATGAGATTTGTATAAACATTTTTCCTTGAATTAGTGTATTCTGTTGTAAACTGTCCTGAGCCTCTGTTGGGAAGGGCAGCATATGAAGTGCCTTCTACCCTCTGCTCCATTGACAATCTTTCTTGGACCCCCATTCAATCATTTCATTTAAATTAATCTCTGCTCAGACACAAAACCCTCGATTCCCTTCAAATTCTTCCTCAAGACTTGTATCCTCTGTAATATCTACCTGAAATGAGACAACTAAGCAAAGCACTGGTTCAAAAGGATTTGGAACAATGAAGCTGTGCACAGAACTAATTTACTGGGCATGTCTACACGTTCTTTAATGCACTGTAATTACAGAGCATTAAGTTTAGTACCTTTAATAACAGGTACTAACTTAATGCATCGTAATTGGTGCTACTGCGAATTAGCACAGAATGCTTTTTGTGACGCTTAACGCTCATTGGTAGGGACCTACCAAATTCATGGCGGAAGTAGAGTAGATTAAAGGCAGCTCCTTTAGTCATGCATGTTCCCCCATGTGCACCTTGCCCCTTGTCCCTTCTCCCCACCCCGCCCCTGCTGTTTAGCAGAGAACGCTGCAGCTCCCTCCTGATTAGCAGGGAAGCTAAAACCGCAGTTTTAAACATGGCACCATTTTTGCCTCCCTGCCAGTCAGCAGCAAATAGCAGGGCTGTCTGGGGCCCATCAGCAATGAGCGGCAGGAAGCAAATATGGCACCATATTTAAAACTGCAGT